ACGTGGCAAAAGCCCTAGCATCAATCAAAATTGGGAAATCAACAACAGTAGAAACAATTCGAATTCCGATAAGGGCAAGGAGAAGGAACCCTATTTAAGGCACCGGGAAATAGAGAGGAGCGCGGGACTGAACATTGACTTGCATGATGGGGATGATGATGATGATGATGATGATGATGATGGCTCCGAAGGTGGAGTTGGGGTTTTGCACCACAATTTGACCTCTGCAAGCAGTGCTCTTCAGGGCCTGCTGAGGAAACTGGGTGCCGGTCTGGATGATTTGCTCCCGAGCGCTGCCATAGGTTCAGCTTCGTCTTCCCACCAAAGCGGACGGCTGAAAAAGATTTTGTCCGGTTTGAGGGCTGATGGAGAGGAAGGGAAGCAAGTGGAGGCACTTACGCAGCTTTGTGATATGCTGTCGATAGGGACAGAGGATTCTCTGAGTACTTTCTCGGTGGATTCATTTGTTCCTGTTCTTGTGGGATTGATTAATCACGAGAGTAATCCAGATATCATGCTTTTGGCTGCGAGGGCACTCACGCACCTGGTCGATGTGTTGCCCTCATCGTGTGCTGTGGTGGTGCATTATGGTGCTGTCTCTTGCTTTGTTGCTAGGTTGCTGACTATAGAGTACATGGACTTGGCTGAACAGGTGATCTTTATTAGTAGTAATGTTGGGGGGATGATAATATGCTGTTGTAAGTTATTTATTGATTGTAATTTTTTTTCTTTTTTTTCTTCTTTCTTATTATTGGTAAAGTTCTGATTTTTATTTTGGTTGGAGAGCAGTCTCTGCAAGCCCTGAAGAAGATATCTCATGAACACCCGACTGTGTGCTTGAGGGCTGGTGCTCTTATGGCTGTACTTTCTTATCTAGACTTCTTCTCAACTGGTGTCCAGGTGTGTGGAGACTGGTGTTTTTTATTGTTAATCTCCATCTTTGAATTGCTTACTTAGCCGTTATGGACGTGTTTTGCTTTTACTCGTAGTATTTTAGAGTGTTTAATTTCACTTGATGGTCTATTAGAGAGTGGCCTTGGCAACTGCTGCAAATATGTGTAAGAAACTGTCTTCAGATGCTGCTGATTTTGTTATGGAAGCTGTTCCTTTGTTGACAAATCTCCTGCAGTATCCTGATGCCAAGGTTAGACTAATATTATGTGTTTGTTTTTCAACTCATACTCAATTATACTCAAAATCTAACTCAATCCCACTATCCTCAATATTATCAATTTAATAATACCAACTAATCATTTTTACATATCACATCAACTTTAATTCACTATTCATCCACTCACATAATTTAAACTAACCGTCACTCTACATCAGCTCTCTCATACTTTTCCATCAAATCAATTTTAATTATTTTATTACAAACTCAAAATCCCACTGACCTAACCATTCCAATTTTTCCAAAATTAACCCTGGTTTTGAGCGGATATATTTGTATACAAGCACGCCCTTAGGTTGGTTCATGGTAGGATCTCATAGTGTGACTTGAGAAACTCAATATCTATATGCTCTTTTCTGTGCTTCTTAGGTTTTGGAATCTGCGTCGATTTGCTTGACGCGGATTGCTGAGGCGTTTGCTTCATCACCTGAGAAACTCGATGAACTTTGCAACCTTGGCCTTGTTGCACAAGCTGCTGCTCTTATTTCTTCGTCTAATGCTGGAGGGGGTCAGGCTTCCCTTAGCACTACGACTTACACGGGTTTGATTCGTCTTCTTTCCACATGTGCAAGTGGTTCTCCTTTAGGAGCGAAGTCCTTACTTCTATTAGGTATCAGTGGGACTCTGAGAGAAATCTTGCAAGGGTCCGGCCTTGTGTCAAGCATGTCTGTTTCACCTGCTTTGAGTAGACCTCCAGAGCAGGTATTGCAGACATCTTCCACATTTTAATTCACTGATTTGAATTATCTGCCATTTGTTTTTTACCCGATCGTGTACTATTTTTTTTTTTTTTTTGTTAATGTTTTACCGGTGTTGCCTTTGTGCAAATTGAATACCTAGCATGGGGAAGAGTTTAAGATTTAAATGAAGTTCTCTGATACTTGGTCTGTGTTATCTCCATTCCGTGACCTATGACTGGACTTATATCATCAGGTCTTTGAGATTGTGAACCTGGCAAGTGAGCTTCTTCCACCACTTCCGCAAGGAATAATATCACTTCCAGTCAGCAGCAGTTTGTTCATGAAAGGATCACTTTGTAAAAGGAGTAATGCAGGCAGCTCTAGCAAGCAGGAAGATTCAAATGGGAACATGCAAGAGGTTTTAGCGCGTGAGAAACTATTGAACGATCAGCCTGAACTTCTACACCAATTTGGAATGGATCTTTTCCCTGTTCTGGTCCAAGTAAGTATCTGAATATCTCAGCACATGTATATTATGTCGAAGCTTAAAAATCACTGTGTTATACTTTCCTTGTAACTTTTGCACTCAGATCTATGGATCCAGCGTGAATGGTCCTGTACGCCACAAATGTCTATCAGTTATAGGAAAGCTCATGTACTTCAGCTCGTCAGAAATGATTCAATATTTGATAAATGTCACAAACGTCTCAAGGTAATTTGGCTTCACTATACTTCGTTTTGCATGCTATTATATATAT